CTTCCTTCCTTCCTTCCTTCCTTCCTTCCTTCCTTCCTTCCTTCCTTCCTTCCTTTGGGTTGGACTAGATGCCCTGCAAGGTCCCATCCAGCTGTGTTATTCTGGGCTCAGTTGTATTCTGTACAGCAGTTGGACTCAAGAGACCTGGGAGCCTTCAATCTAAACGGTCCCTAGATTCCGAGTGTTGCAGCTGCTCACACCGACAAGGCCCAGCCGTGCGGTTTCGACACACTCCGTAGTTGTGCAATAAGCCCATCTATCCCTTGACAAGCTGGAGCCGAGGCTGCCACCCACGCAGATCGCCCCAAGCCACGGATAGACAGCGGTGCTGACACAACCGTCTGCATCACAAGCGCATCACAAATAGGGAAGAATTGCCAAAACGCAGCTGTGAACGGGGCAGCCCCCCCGCCCCCGAGGTCCTCCATCTGTGGCGAGGGGGCTGTTTGCACCCCTGTTGTGCCAACTCCGTCCTGGCACGCCTGGTGCAAACAAAGGTGTGTTTGCGTTTGTTTGGAGAATTCACACACATCTCTTCTTTCGGTGTTAGCATTTGTACTCGTTCTTTTTATTTTATTTTGAATTTGATGTGATTTTATTTTATATTTTTATTTTACTTACTTTATTATTTTATTAGTATAATTGTATTGTCTTACCTTTTATCTTATCTCATCTTATCATTAAGTGTTGTACATTATGATTCTTGATTCTTAACAAATGTACCTTTTCTTTGATGTATATTGAGAGTATTTACACCAAGACAAATTCCTTATGTGTCCAATCACCACTTGGCCAATAAAGTATTCTATCTATTAATTTCACTTAATTTAACTTAACATCACTTTTTATTACTTTTTATTTTCATTTTTTTATTATTATCGTGTTGTGTTGTATTGCATTGTTTTGTTTTGTTTTACCTTTTAAGTTTAATTTCATCTTATCTTACTTTTTAATTTCATTTAATTTAACATAACTTTATTTTATTTTATTGCTTTTTATTGTCATTTTTCATTTTTTATCATTATCGTGTTGTATTGCATTGTTTTGTTTTGTTTCATTTGACTTTTTACATTCCATGTCATCTTATCTTATCTTTTTAATTTCATTTAATTTCACTCAAATCACTTTATTTTATTTTATTGCTTTTTCTTTTATTGTTTTTTATTTTTCATTTTTTAATTATTGTTTTGCAATGCATTGTTTTATTTTACTTTTTAAATTTAATTTCATCTTTTATTTTATTTTACCAAGGACCCCAATGGCCCTTGTAACTTCGCTCACTAAAGAAACTGTTTTAAGTTCAGGACCACCTCTATTTTATGTCATAATTTTTTCAGATTAAATTTTGATGCTGTCTGTGACTTATCAAGTGATAAAACCAGGAAAAAGAATTAAAAGATGCTTAAAATGATCATTTCAAATATGAAACAATGCCCAGTTTAATTCAATAATAAAAACCCCTTTAGGAAAAAAAAACTACTTTTGATTTTAATATACACGCATGCCTGTTTGTGTAAACACAGCCGTCTCAGTAGGAAAAGATTACGCCTCTTGCACGCCTCTTACACGCTTGCTGCAGGTGTGCCCAACAACACATAATAAGAGACTATGGTTTTCTCCCTCTCTCCTATTTTCTTTCAACCTCAGGACGGAACTGAAACCTACAAGGGAAAAAAAGGAATTAATTTTTCTGTCGAATCAATGTTTAGTCACCTGTTTTTTATGGGAAGTGATTCACTCTACATGCATGTCAAATATGCCACCTGTTGCTTCTCTGCACACACACCCCGGGCATTTCCCAGAATCCCCCTGTTCGGTGCTAACTCAGAATTCTTGAAAATTAGTAGTCCTCGACTTATGGCTACAAACGACGCCGAGTGAGACATTTTTAAAAACCAGTTTTGCCCTGCGTGATGACCATTCTTGCCACCGTCGTTAAGCGAACCGCTGCAGTGCTTTAAGTGAGCGACATACATTATTAGGTCCTC